CTTTATATTTAAGAATGTTTCAATATCTTTATATAACTTTTTGAATGATTAAATTCGGACATTCCATTCGAAAGATATCACAAGTTTAAAAATGTTAGTATATTGTAATTTAACTATCCAGAGCTTAGTGACTTAGTAGTTCTTATCATTTTTGTAAATTATATAAATAAATTATATATTATTAATTATAATATATATTAATATAATATAATATTAAAATATTATTATTTATTAACATAAATATAAATATCAAAGAAAAAAATACTGCATAAATAAATAATTACAATCGCATAAGTTGATAAAAGATGCTATGCTATAGCTTTACCCCGACAGAGCCGAGTGCGACAGGTTTTTTTTTATAAAAATGTTTTTTTTAATTTTTACTAGTTTGTTTCTTTCGTTTTATTATTTCATTTTTAGTTTCTAGATACTAGCCCGGCTTCGTACGCCATGCTATTTCCATTTCATTTACAGAAAATTATTTTTTTTAACATTTAGCATGAATATTATTGAATCAGCAAAATGCATTCAGAATACCATACAAAGTATTTTACTCAATTCGTTAGCGGGTTTTACCTAATTATCTGCCTACATAGCTACCTTCCTACGTACCCTACTATTACCTACCTATCAAACTATCTATCTACCGCACGCATAATCAAACATGTATAAAACAAGCTTCTTTTTCTTCATAAAAATAATTAAAAACATAAAATTAAATTATATACATAATTAATTAAAACGCAAATTATCAACAGCTACGAACTTTTAAATGAAATTAAATAAAATTATATCTAAATACATAAAAAATATTCAGTTTAAAAACTTGTTGAAAACAAATTTAACGTAATTTAAAAAAATAAATGACTTCAAATTAAATAAAAGTATAAAGTTGCGTCAGTTACATAAAGCTTCGCCGCTTCGCGTTTGTCGCAGTGTGCGTGAGCCGTGCACGTGTAGTAGTACACCTCTGTACCTAAAATTGAAGCGCGTGAATTCGTAAACGCGTCCTTAACATGAGTAAGGAATATTCGATGCGTTTAGAATGCTTCTTCGAATTAAAAAAAAAAAAAAAAAAGATATTGAAGACATAAGTTTGTACTTAATGGCGCATGAAATAAGGTCTTTTTTAGCGAAATGGTATCAATGGAAGAATTAAGCCTATCGATCGTGAGTACGACCTTCGATCGATAACAAAGTCCAAGTTACCGCGTGCCATCACCGCGTATATTTAGATAGACTATTCTAATTTCGCGAGTGGTTGAACCTTGCGATCTATAGAATAATGTCTTGTGTCTACTTGCCATGAGTATATTTTTTTTTATGCGAAAAATTGCCAAACGAACTGACGGCTCACCTGATGTTAAGTGAATACCGCCGCCCATGGACATCTGCTACACCCGAGTGTTATAGATGCGTTGAGAACCTTTTGAAAATTGGGCTCCGGCCACCTCACTCACCAGATGAAACGCGAAAGTATTTGCCATACTTCCACTTTACGCTGGTCTTCTGTGAGGTCGTGGTACTTACCCGGACGGGCTTGCCCATTCGTGCAACAGCCGAGGCTGCTGCGTGGCCCTACCACCGTAAAAATAAAGCCGTGATAGCTCAGTGTCCGGGCGCTCGCCTTAATTCAACATACTCGAGCAACCTGAGTTCAATATCCGGTGCCGGCACCAACGAATTGGTTAATTTTAAGTGTTAAATTATCACGTGCTCAGTGGTGAAGAAAACATCGCGACGATACGTGCATATTTCCGAAATAATAACAAAAAATATTTCGAAGACTAAGGGCCGCGTGGTGGACTATGCCCTGATGCCCTATGTAGGACTAGAGGCCTTTGCCCATCAGTGGGACATGGTATAGGCTGTTACTTTACTTGACATTTTTTAAACGAGTAGAGAGTTCTAGAGTTCAAAAATTAATAGAACTTGGCGATCACTTTGCAATGTTAATGGACACGCTCTCAACAACAGTATCATTTGGTTATGTTGCGATCTTGTATAATCGTTCGATTTTTGAACGAACGACGCGGAACTCAAATTGGTTTTTTCAGTGGTTTTTCCCAGACTATTCAACGTGTACACTGACACGTTTCTGGTTTTTTTTTGTATGTAATACCAGTTTCTATTAATATTTTTCGTCCATTTGCAAAAGGTGCCGAAGACGTGATAAACAGACTTGTGTCTCTTAATTACTAATTTTAGAATTCAATAAATCCTGTTATCGATAAAAAGAAACTCCCGACTTCTACTATTGCTAACGTAACTCTAAGGTAATTTTAAACAACGTTTAAAATTACCTTATGCGACGGTCATAACATAAAAGGTTATCTCTCACTCAATTTTACAGAGAAAGCAATAATACTAGTATGTTCAATATACTGCGGAAACAATACGTTCTGGTGAGTAACCCAAGCGATTTACACAATCGCCCCTCATAACCTTTCCACGTTCCACGGCCGTGAATCGGTCAAACCCAATAACTTAACGAAGAAAGCCTTTATTCAATCGAGATTATAACCTGATTTAAAGAGTCATGGTACGACACTAGCGCACCGAAATTGAGACACTCAAATTACACCAATTGGTGCAAAACACACTAGTAAAACATTACCCTCCTTTGGCAGTCGGGTAAAAAGCATTCATCATCATCATCATCATTTCATCCTGTTTGAGTCTGCTACTGGACATATATCTCCTTCAAAGACTGCCATGAAACACAATCCTGAGCCACCTGCATCCATCGACTTCCCGCACATTTGCATAGGTCGTCACTCCATCTAGTGGGGGGTCGTCCTACACTGCGATGCGATGACGTCAGTACGAGGCTGCCACTCGAGAACCTTTCTTCCTTATCGATTATCTGTTCTACGAGCTATATGCCTGGCGGATGGCCTCTTCAGCTTACTAGCTATATCGCTTATCTTTGTTCTACTGCGTATGTGTTCGTTGCGAACTCTACGAGAAACACCAAGCATAGATCGCTCCATAGCTCGCTGAGTGATATCGATCTTAATTAAACCAAGAGGATTTGCGGCGTATTTCTCAAATTATGGAACCACAGTTTAAAAAATTGCGGACGGATTGTCACTGTATTTCACAATTAATCGACATTATAACAGTGGTAGGGCCACGCATCAGTTTGCTGATGCAGAAGGGGTAGGTCCGTCCGGGAAGTACCACGACCTCACAGAAGACCGGCGTAAAGTAGTATTTTGCTTCTGCGTTTCGTCTGGTGAGTGAGGTAGCCGGGGCCCAAATTATTAAAAGGTGGCAAAACCTTTGCAACCTTAAGGGTGTTGCAAGTGTCCATGGGCGGCGGTTATCACTTACCATCAGGTTTACCGTCAGCTCGCTTGCCATCTTATCACATAAAAAAATAATATTAATTTTTGTCACGATTGACGAAGCGATGAAGAAATCAAGACCATCGCATGACGCCTTTCATTGAAAGCGCAATTGAAGAAACGTGTTTTAATATCATTACTTTTTTATTTATAATTGTTGCGGTTTTCTTGAGAAACAAGAATTATTATCTTCGTGTCGTCATCTGGGTGGGATGTAAAAAAATATATTACAATTGTATAGATTATCCTCCGCTGAAAAAGACCTACCATCTCTCCCCTTTTCTTCCAGTCTCATAAAAGTTTTAATAAGAAATATATGGACTGTTTTGACTAATAAACCGTACCGTCATAACTCTAAATTTGCTAACAATCGTCGTCTATAATTTTGCAAACGTGTCGAGGACCTATTCGATAGAATCCTAAGAATGTAACAAGTTTTAAAACAATATACTAAGTGATAGAGAAATTGTGTGTTTCAAATTATTCAATATTTTCTTACGCAACAAGTAATATACATTTTAAACTATAATAAAAAATAGAAGGGGTAGGAGAGTTAGTCTAATGCTCCTATTTTGAATGAAGATATTTGAATTTGAATCAGAATAAGACACTAATATTTTCTCCGTTACGGGTGATAAGCGTAGAAGGCTGACTTGGACATTGGTTTTAAATATCAACAATTTACACGTTCTAGAAGACTTTCTAAAAGAGCTCATTTGTGCCATTGTGCTAAGTTGTGACGCAGTATCCGTCTTAGCGGTTGACGAAATAAATTTTACGTAAACCTAACACTTGCAAGACGTGCAAAATTGTTGGTGAACCAACGGCTAAAAAAGAGTAATGATAAGAGAGCGAAACGTTCTATATCTCGTGGTTTTTTCAGGTAGCGCTATTAATAACGGTGGTGACTTCGTATATGTATATTTGCATTTACTTTGCGTGCGTTTTTTATTTTTTCAACAGTAGCAATTCATTGCTTTCTAAGTGATAGTAGATAGATATTAGTAATTTATTATTTAAATTACTAACGGTCTACGATGCCATATATTACCAGCCAGACATTCAAGTTGCCGGACAAACAGCTGACTGGTCAGTAAGTTACATTTCTTACACGCTTGCTTGCCAATAATCATACAAAATATTAACGTTAAATTAAATACATAATTTGAAAAAATTTTTTTTCAAACAAACTAATTAAGTAAAAAAGAAACAAAATTTGGAACATCCTATACAATTACAACTGACTGATTCATACATTCAGAGACTTTTTCATTCGTTGCATTACAAGCCTCTCCTTCTAACAGTATGTTTTGTCTCTTTTAAATTAATTCAACCCAATCATATACTTTGTGACCTTTACAAATGAACTTTACGTTACAGTTTTATACTTAAGTGTTCTAAAATTGTTTGTTTTGAAAAATTTAATAACTCGGTAAATATTGATATTTAAAGAATGTAAATTTTAATACAATTTTAAAAAGTTATCCTCTATATGTGTATTCATTTATTGTCGCGATCGTGAAGACACGCTGTATATATGGATAACTGATAAACATACTCAAACATGCCGCAGGTGCACTACACACTACGCCAATCGAGTCGTCATAAATAAAAATAATCGAGCCCTTACGCAGAAAGGCGAGCACTTACTTCAGATACTTCTGGTAAAGATGAAGGGAGAGGTTCGTCCTTAGCCTCAATTTCACTTCGCCTATGCTCCATTTCAGAACGTTGTTGACCACCGATATCTGGAGAGAGGGAAACCAACAGTTTACACAGTGTAGTCCTTCACTACAAAGTCGACCATTTAGACGTATGCCAGCAGTTTCGCAGAGTTCACGGTTCCACCAATGAGTGGATGTAAAATGGAAGTGTTCATACTTTTGCTACTTCGGTCGCTTAACGGTGGTAGGGCCACGCAGCAGCCTCGGCTGTTGCACGAATGGGCAAGCTCGTCCGGGTAAGTACCACGACCTCACAGAAGACCGTCGTAAAATGGAAGTATAATACTTTCGCGTTTCGTCTGGTGAGTGAGGTGGCCGTAGCCCAATTTTCAAAAAGGGTGTCAACACATCTGTATACCCACGGGTATAGCAGATGTCCATGGGCGGCGGTATTCACTTAATATCAGGTGAACCGTCTGCTCGTTTGGCAACTTTTCACATTAAAAAAAAGTCAAAGAGTTTAACCATGCCTTTGGCAACTCAAATGACTTTTGAGAAGCCAATTGACAGCTGATTACTTAATTTCTACGATGATCAGTATTTCAGAAACCGAGCGTAAGTTTTCTTTTACCTGTCATACGTCTTTTAATAAAACAACGGGTTTTTCCACGTTTAGAGACTACTCTACAAATCCGCTTCGGTTCTGACTTTAAAAGAAAAAAAAAACAATTGGCAGTTTTCCGTAAAAGACTTGGAATTAACATTTCATTTGGACAGGATTTCTGTATAATATGAATTTAAATTAATGTTATTAACACATGTAGGAGTATTTTTTAAGTTCTATCTCATTTGAAGCTTACTTATTATATTAAAGTAAAACCGCGTCATACATCCAACTTTTTGGTAGCTCAACCAGTTTAATATTACATGATACAATAATACATGTTGAAAAACAATATGGTTAATGATATGTACACCAAATAGCTGAGCAAACATCGTGACCACATATTAATTTACACAGCGGTAGTTTATCTGATATATATAGAAATTACCCAATATAATTATGTTGATTAATTAATTAAATTCGCTGTTATTTCTGAATTTAGTTAGCAGCTCTGTAAATCCAACCGGACTACAAAGAAAAAAAGTCAAATCGGCTATTTGCTTAGCAAAATTGTTGTATTCTACAATTAATTAATCCAATGCGAGGAAACTACAGTTTTATTATCCTCTTGTCCTTATTAGGGAAAACTACGTAATACTTCAAGTTTAGCAAAGAAATTTTATCACTGAAATGTTATTCACAAGAAGAAAACATTATAAAACCCTATGTTTTTCCACAGATCTCATCACACAATGGCTCATTATCAATATGATAATCATGTCTTCGTACTTATAGTGTGAATTAACTTTTACCATAGAAATGTATTGCCTTTATTTAAATTTCAATACCTTCATATATCAAACTTAATGCTACACACGAGTGAGCCGCGTGAAATAAAACATATTAATGTATAATAAACCTTGGATTGATTACCGTCTTAATAACATGATTTTGTTTTAAGATGAGCAAACGTGTTGATATATACATTGTGCATTGATACATACGAACCTTCCTCTTGAATCACTCTATCTAGTAAAAAAACCACATCAAGGTCCGTTGTAGACTTTTAAAGATCTAAGCATACATAGGGACAGACAGACAGCGGGACGACTTTGTTTTATACTATGTAGTGATGAACAGCAAAGATATGTTTACATTTCAAGTGATATTTTAACACAGTCACCCCTCCACTAACACTTAAACTTTATGGTATGGTATTAAAGTTCAAATTGACTTTTAAGTATTATTACGAATCTTTTGTACGGGAATATGGAAAAGTGTTGTTTTTTATCTTTTTCAGGCAATTTTTTAAATTTTTCTTTCCGTAAGAACCATCCTCGTACTTCAAGGAATATTATAAGAAAAAAGAATTAGCGAAATCGATTCAGCTGTTCTCGAGATTTGCGCTTAGCAACACATTCAGCGATTAATTTTTATATATAGCGTTAAGTAATATGGTTGCCACAAGTTTTACCGATTATGACCATGTTCGAAATTAGTTTGAAATTTGAGAAAACGTACGGCTGTGTTTGTGAATACAAAAGACTAACGCCCAGTTGCTGAAACACTTTTTTAAAACGTTATTTAGAACTTTGTTGCCAAAATGATGGTTAAACTCTTTGAATTGATCATTCTGATCATTAAGAAGATCATCCTGATTTAGTTGACTTTTACGTTGATCAGTGTTTCAGAAACCGAAATGAAATGCATACCTAAGTAGCCTTACACCGAACTGATTCATGGACACGTGGTATCGGAAATAATTATAACAATTTTCCGCCACCTAGAATCTAATGTGTAAAACTAAACTCGTTCGACCGCTGAATAAATGCATGAAAATTATCGCTTAGTACGTGGCCTCATTATAATACAAACGAGTTTCATGTTAATTACAATTTAAAGGTCAACTTGTAGGGCAAGGATGGAAGGTAAACAAACTGTGAAAATCTCATATCATTGTCATAGTGGAATTTTAATCGGCTAAACGTGAGCTAGTGCTCAATTCGTCGGTTATTTCGTATGTTCAGGGATAATTTAATAAGACATTAATTTACCACGTTGCTAGATTGCAACATTTTTTTTGGGAAATTAGGTATTTCACTGCATTAATTTACTCAAGAACTGATGATGAGATTTATGAAATAAAAAATCGGGCTGTTCGATTTCCAATGCAATTTTCACAACGAGCGGGTGTTCTAACCAAGAACAGTTGAGTTTTTTTCTACTCTTTTAACTCTAGAAAGTTTATGATTTCTCAAAATCACAGCTTGCATTATAGTGAGTATATCTTCACACGGTGTATTGCGGTATACATTCTCATTTTGGGCTAATGATATTCTTTAGCTTAATCATGTTCCGTGAACACTGATTGCAACACTTCAAAACGTTCCAGACATGTTCTCTGGGATGAGGTTGGGACTTGCTGTCACATGACACATCACATGTTAAAACCCGACGAAAGGATAAGGCTGTAGAGCGTGCAGAATTAGAAATACATAGGTAAGCTCGGGAAACTTTACCCCTTCTCGATTGTCGGTTAAAAATAATTCACTTTATACACAAACGAAGACTACAGCTTATCGCAGTACGATACGGTCGTGATCTTATTAGCCGCGTGACAAGTGAGCTTGTCGTCAATATTTTGTTAAAAAAGTAGGTATAAAGTCAACTCGCCAATGACATAGCTAGAAGTGGTTAGCAACATTTTTATGTTAGAGGAGTTCGTAAAAATCAACTCACCAATGGCATAGCTAGAAGTGGTTAGCAACATTTTTATGTTAGAGGAGTTCGTAAAAATCAACTCACCAATGGCATAGCTAGAAGTGGTTAGCAACATTTTTATGTTAGACGAGTTCGTAAAAATCAACTCACCAATGGCATAGCTAGATGGTTAGAAACATTTTTATGTTAGAGAAGTCCATAAAAAATCAACTCACCAATGGCATAGCTAGAAGTGGTTAGCAACATTTTTATGTTAGAGATATCCGTAAAAAATCAACTCACCAATGGCATAGCTAGAAGTGGTTAGCAACATTTTTATGTTAGAGATATCCGTAAAAAATCAACTCACCAATGGCATAGCTAGAAGTGGTTAGCAACATTTTTATGTTAGAGATATCCATAAAAAATCAACTCACCAATGGCATAGCTAGAAGTGGTTAGCAACATTTTTATGTTAGACGAGTTCGTAAAAATCAACTCACCAATGGCATAGCTAGATGGTTAGAAACATTTTTATGTTAGAGAAGTCCATAAAAAATCAACTCACCAATGGCATAGCTAGAAGTGGTTAGCAACATTTTTATGTTAGAGATATCCGTAAAAAATCAACTCACCAATGGCATAGCTAGAAGTGGTTAGCAACATTTTTATGTTAGAGATATCCGTAAAAAATCAACTCACCAATGGCATAGCTAGAAAAAACTGAATCAGCAGCCGCCTGAACTCCTTTTGATTCATTGCGATGATGGACCTGCAAACAAAGAGTCGATGTATTTACCTTAAGAAAGCACCTTACAACTATCCCTTCGATAACTCATAATAGGAGTGTTGTTTGTCTTTTATATACCTACCTATTCACCAATTATGTTTCTAAGATTAGAAATACATAAAGATACAATAATCTTGTCTACAACATATTTTTCTTTTCCGTTTGTTTTATTATTACCCTTCACCTCATAACAATTATATTCAGTACAAAGAACGATCTCAGTGGATACTGTAACTAAAAATCGGAACGTAGAAATATAAAGAAAACTAGATCAACAAATGAGATGCGGTCATTTCAGACTAATTTTAGACATATAGTATAAATCTTATGACTATGGATACATTTTTTTAATTATAGTTTTTTTACCTTACTGTATGATAACGTTATCTCGTGTTGTAAGGACGTTTTACATGAAGAAATTTCACGTGGATAAAGACCCACTAACCCAGATCCGAAAAAATTATTTGTGGGGTACTCAAACAGCTGTCTGGTATACAGTGGCGGACTAAGACCTTCAAAGGGCCGGGGTGGCAAATCTGAATGAGGCCCCTTGTTTAGGAAGCTGACTAATTTTCATCATCATCATCATATCAGCTGTAGAACGTCCACTGCTGAACATAGGCCTCCCCCATTGACTTCCACTTCGACCGGTCGTTAGCGGCCTGCATCCAACGCGTCCCTACGATCTTGGCTAGGTCGTCCGTCCACCTTGTGGGAGGTCTTCCTACGCTGCGCTTGCCGTCACGTGGTCTCCACTCGAGAACCTTTTTGCCCTAACGGCCATCGGTTCTAATTTTAATCGGATCCATCGGACTAATTTACTGCTTAGTACTCCTATTCACTCCTCTTCCTTCTATGCTGATTCTTTTAGGGTTACTGCCATACATCTTTGGAATTCTCTCCCCTTAGATATTAAACAATCTAAATCTCTTCACATTTTTAAAACTAAATTAAAATTTCATTACCTATCCTCTTAATCTTCTATCTGTCGTCCATTTTATATTTTTCTCTGTCCATTATGTATTTTTCTTAATATTTATTTAGTATACCCTTGCCACTTTCTTCTTTTTATGAATTTCTCTGCCCTAAGGTTGCCTGGAAGAGATCGCTGCTTAAGCGGTAAGGCCGCCTGTTGTACCCGTGTGTTTTTTTTTTCTCAATTATAAATACTGTAATGTTTCTTGGTGTACAATAAAGCATATTTTACTTTAATTTTACAAGCTTTTTATTAACTTCATTTATACGTGTCCTTGAGCTGCTCAGTCCATCGTGCTGGAGATCACCCACGTGGTCTTTTGCCTTCTGTGTTTCCAAAAAAATCAACCTTTCCAAGCTTTCGTCTCTTTTTCGCATTATGTCTTTATTTTAACTGTGGTAGGTCCAGGCAGCTGCCTCGGCTGTTGCGCGAATGGGCAGGCTCGTCCGGGTTAGTACCACGCCCTCGCAGAAGACCGGCGTAAAGTGGAAGTATAATATTGTCGCGTTTCGTCTGGTGAGTGACGTAGCCGGAGCCCAATTTTCAAAAGGTTTTCAACGCATCTGCAACCCTCGGGTGTAGCAGATATCCATGGGCTCACTTAATACCAGGTGAACCGCCTGCTCGCTTGGCAACTTTTCACATAAAAGAAATGTGGCCAAACACAGAAGTGTCTCCAAAGTTCTCCGATGTGGTTATGACCGCGATGGACCGGAATCGATGGAGAGATCTCATTCATGCTAAAACCAGAGCATGTGAGCCTGCGCGTTGTCGTAAAGAAGCAAGACACCTGTAGTCAAATTTCCGCGTCTTCTTTCTCCCTTAAATTGCGAGATGAGATGCGGCTGGAATACTTTGACCTCTTTACTAAATACGAGTACTATTGTCACTGTGTACTAAATCAGTAACGTTCTCTTAAAATCCCAAAACACCGTGGCCGTGAGCTTTCCGTCGCATGGGCTGACTTTAAACTTCTTTCGTGGGTCTGTCCCTTTTTTATGCCACTGCATGGACTCGTGTTTACCCTCAACGATCGTAGTGGTAACCCAAGTTTCATCACCGGTAACGATTCGGTCGAAAATTCTATGCGGATTTTCACCACAAAGCTCCAATAACTCCTTGCAATACTCAACTCGCACTTGTTTCTGAAACGCATTCCCCATTTTGCACTGACCTTTGACAGATTCAATTGCTCATAAAGAATAGTGTGAAAGGTACCCACCCACGGATAGTTTAGTCCTTTCTGTTGATGTTTACACTCTTACACGGCTACATTGACTACAAGTTTCTTAACAATTTTGACGTCGGCCATCTATGAGTACAAGTTTCTTAACGATTTTGACGTTTTCTTCAATATAGCCGGCCAACCGTTGGTCCAACCAACGGGGGTCGTCTTAAATACTTTCTCCACCCCGTGTGAATTGACTGGATCACTTCTGAATAGTGGATAATGAAGGAGCAGAATGTTGTTATAATTCTACCATTTGTTCATGAATAACTTTTTGAGGCTTTCCTTGTTGTGTAAGGACTTTATCACAGCGTTATGCTAATATTTTTTAACATTGACGTAGTCACCGTACTTACCTTTACGTAATGACCTCTTGAATACTAATTGGTGGCAATAAAATAAAATCTTATACTTATATCCTCAAAGAGTGTCTTTAATGAGATAATTTAATGACTCTCATCATTAGTATATCCTTATCCGAAGTAATGATAAGATATCCTTATCCGAACCCCCCCCCCCCCCTTTAGTCCGCCACTGCTCGTGTAGGAATCGAACTCACGAGCTTCAACGCCAAAGACTTGGTAACTGCGCCACGGATTCATCACAACACTGCACACCTCATTGCCACAAAGTGCGATCCATATCCGTGAATACTAAAATATTGCTTTCATTTAACTGTACTACAGACATTCGTATGAGAAATTCTATTATAGCCAACAACAATTTGTACTCAAGGGTACAAGATCTCGGTTAGGTATCCATTAGAACCACATTTCACCAATAACTTTACGTAATTTACTTCAACTGATATATTTTCTTTCATTCCGTAATATATTAGCTTTATAGAACGCAGAACGCGTGGGTAGCCAAATTAAATGGAATGAGTGTCAACTACATACCATCGAACTCAAACACGGGGTATACGGAGTTTCGGTACCGACCGTGAGTCGATGGCCGTCGACCGAATTAACCAAAGGTGGGGGTGGTGAGAGCTATGGAACGCGAGTGTTCAATAGTTCTCACTGCCCCTAGTCTAATCGGAAAGGCAAAGGCGAACTATTTGGTATGCGCTAGAACTATGCGATGATACTTGTATATAGTGATGTCTATGTCCCACGACGCCGGCGTTGAGTAGAGACGGGCATTTAAAAATTTCGCGACTGTCTGTCTGATTTTGTCTGATTTCGAACATTAATATGATTTTGTTACCTACCGGAAGGTTTTTTTTTAATTTTTGACAGGCATTTTTCCGAAAAATCAGGTATTCTTGTATAGGCAAGCTTCACATCATGCATAGTAACTCTGTACGTACCTATGTCCCCTTTCTCGACCGGAAGCACGGCGAAGGTTACGGGGCAGGCCCCACTAGTGTAGTAATAGGGTTGTCTATTCTCCATTTGCGATATCAATCACCGAGATGGTCGGCAACGCTTTGTTAGCACGGCTGAGTTTATCTGAGTAGTATAGAGCATCCTTTTAAAGCGCGAGATTTACTTGGTCTCTTGTGATGGCGCTCGTGTAATGAAAATGTAATAAAAAAGAATGAAGCAAGGGGGAGAGGGAGTATTCTTCGGGAACGGCCGCCGTCAGCGATAACGAAAAGAGCGAATCGACTTTAAGCCTTGGCACGAGCCTGTCTGGGACGTTGAGTGTAAACACCTTGTAAAGAAAGCAGTTCTGCCAAACTTATGCAATGCAATGTCATGGAAGCTGAGAGCACCCGTTGTAATGAGTTCGGGATGGTTGAGGTGAGGTAGTAAATCTCTTCGGGACATGAGTGATTACGCCGAAAGCCGAATAGTTGGAGGGAGTGGGTGATTTAAGCAATTCTCTGCTCATGTATATGATAGACAACGCTCTTAAAATATATAAATATTTAGGACACATTTTTACTTGCTATTTCTAACCTTGAAAATTACTAGACCGCTGCATGCATGAGTTTTGAGGTGAATCTTATCCTTTAAACGAGCAATTCTTGTATATATATATATATATAATCGGAATCTCGGAAACGGCTCCAGCGATTTTCATGAAATTTAGTATATGCGTAGATTCGGGAGCGAAAAATCGATCTAGCTACGTTTCATTTTTAGAAAATGTCGGGCGGCCCCAAAACAAACGGCCGCGGTTCGTATTACGCTCATTTACACACTTACTTTTTTTACTTTTTTCTATACCAGATCTTTTTCTTTATTTTTTTTATTTCCAAAATACATGATTTACCCAAAAAAAGGTCCTCCAGGTACTGTCCATTAAAGCACATTTTACTTCTATTAATGTTGAGTACCCGGAGAACCTTTTGGTTTGTTTTTTTTTTTTTGGTAAATCGTGTATTTTGGAAATTACATTTAGATACAAATTACTGAGTAATGAAATATGCATAATGTTTTTCGATCTTACCGGCGTAATAATAAGAAAATATGAACTGATGTTTTTCACAAAAGAAAGAACTTTAAAAAAAAGGGAAAAAAATAACAAAGTAACAAATCGACAAAAAATTAAAAATAAAAAAAGCAATGATCTGGAATCGAAAAAAAAGTAAAACAATAAATGTGTGAATGATCGTGACGCGAACCACGGCCGTCTGTTTTGGGGCCGCCCGATTACCGACCGAGCTATTATGACATTTTCTCTTGCGGCGAAATTTACCGTCATATTCGAATTATATTTTTCATTCCCTGAAAACAGGGATAAAATGACATTTTCTAAAAATGAAACCTAGGCAGTTCGATTTTTCGCCCCCGAATCTACGCACATACTAAATTTCATGAAAATCGC